GAAAAGAACAAATGAACCTCCCCATAAGGTAGCAACTAACTGAATGATGCAATAGGAACATGAAAATGCAACACTGCTTGAAGCAGGGATTTAAGGAAGCAGAAGCAAACTGTTTAAAGCAAAATAGCAGATCTTATTATACCAAAGGCTGGTACAGGCAGTTTATGGATAAGGCCTTGCACAATGCAACACATGAGAAGTTAATTAAAGCCCTATCATCATTTTGATTAACTAACATGTGGAAAGGACAACGATAGTGAAGGAGCTGAGTCAATAGTATCTGACCGGTTTCTGCAAAAGAAAAATCATTTGTTTTGTTCCATAAAGACTTGACTGAGTGCAACAGATGGTGACCTCCGCTCATCCCTAATTAAACGAAGAGGTACCATCTGCAAAGAGTATTCGAAGTTTTTTTCTTGGTTCAAAAGCGTTGACATAAAAAGAAATGAAATTACAGAAGAAACAGAGAATGCACCGTGCACCTATTACTATTGCATATGTGGTTGAAATGGGAACACACGACAGTAACTAACAATTTTGGTATGCACCTGTTGGCACCAAAGGAACCAGCTCAGTATCGCAGGCATTGCATACTTGCTGAAGAATCTTGCACCAACTCTTCCAGGGTGTCGTTTCCGTAACTTGGTCAAAAAGTACATGTAAATAATTTTAGCAATTCATGAAAACAAAACTGATAATGGTAACAAAAAAACAAAAGAGTAAGAGTTCACAACAAAGTGATGGTAAAGCAGGTGCATTAATGTAAGTGATATGACTAAGTCATGGTACAACCTTGATTTGGACTCTTCAATTTTGAAAAAGATGGTATGCTGAATTTCAATTTCTTAGTCTTCCATACATAAGAGCAGCTCAACTGATTCCCAAAGTCTAAAGAGAATTTGGTTCACGTTTTGACCGGCGGTTGTGTTTGTTACTCTAGAAGCTTGGCTCCTAGCCGGCTAGAGCGTCGCCCGGTGAACTTGCCATGTTTGTGGCAGCCCCCGGAGGTTTGTAACCACCTCTTGCAGCGAATAAAATCACCCCTCATCTCAAAAATTCACTCTCTTGACTTGAAAACGAGGTAGGGTTGCAAAGCCCTAAGCCCTAGTGGTATACTTCAACAACGTGGACTTAGGCAAGCCTTGGTGGCGAGCTGAACCACGGGATAAATCCTTGTGTCATCTTGTGCTTGTGTTGCTACACTTGTGTTCTTGTTGTTGTTGAGGTGATTCTAGGGTTTGAGGGCGATCCACTTATGTGTAGTGTTCCCACCACTTTCAGCTATCGATCTGTGATCTACTACATTGCAGGAAGCTAAAAAATTTATCCGATCTAAATTTCGTTGGGTAGATTTTGAACTGTGAACTAATCTCTCATGTAGGTGCGGCAGTGCCACGCTCACAAAGCGGCAGTGCCGCGGATGAATTTGACTTCGGTTTGAGTTGAATTTTTACAGGCCTATTCACCCACTCTAGGTGTACCAGAGATCCTACACATGGCCGCACGAGCGAGGGCAGGAGGCGTGTCGGTTAGTGCTTAGACGGAGCCAAGAGGGGTGCCAGCGTGCGGAGCACTTGAATGCAGTAGCCGGGCCCGAGCAGCTCACCGATGTTGGCTAGCGGGACAGGGCGAAGCAGGGAGGCGTCACCGTCACCCTGTAGCTGGGGTCGGTTGACCCAGACGCGGCGGCGGCGGCACAACTCACGGTAGTTGAATCACAGGGCTTCTCGTCCCGCCCGAGCGTGGCTCAACGGTCAAGATGGCGCACGCTTGCGGCGACAGCGGACGCACGTGATAACCGCACCTCGACGGCGCCTCGCAGCGGCTACACCGGCATAGCGTAGTGGCAGCACTTCGGCACAACGCAGCGGTGCGGCGCAGCGCTCGTGTGCACGTGAGCCAAGGCACGGCTCGGCCGGCCCGACACGAGGTGGCCACGGACCGGCTCGGCCCAACGCACAGCACGGGCGGCGACGAGACAGCCGCTGGCAAGGTCACGCACGGTGCGCGCGTGCAACAGTGCGAGCACCCCTGCGCGACACCGCACTCCCGAGCACGGTGACCGCGCACACCGGACCAGCTAGCCTGAGGTGAGGTCGTGTACGAATTTTAAAGCGTAAAAACCAACCAATTAGAGCTCGGTTGAGGTTAAAACAAGAGTTCAAGATCCTAATAGGTACTAAGGGCTTCTTGTCCGAGCAACAAGCACGGCTGGAGAGTGAGCATCGAGGGAGATAGATAGGTGCCAATATGGGCTCATCACGCTAAGCGCTGGTTCATGAACGGAGCACCAACAGTCACAGCGCGTTCTTAGGATGTTAGGGCAATTTTTGCGACACCACGACAACTCCAACTCATCCGTGAACTACACCCTACTAAAGCACTCACTTAGAGGCAACCAACAAAACGAAATCATGGAGCACTGGAGCTAGTGCTTAAGTATTTTAGTTAAAACGTAAACGCCAAGATGACATTGCCTTCTTCCTTCTAGTCTTAAAAGGTCCAGAGAGCTCGGCTTGCACTAACGTCCATTAACATATTTGCCACAATTTTTAATTTGTCTAAACCTTATTAACTTCAACAAAAAAATTACTACATGCGATAGCCCATACTTTACACTAAACCACAGGAACAAAATACTTAAGCACTATTTAACTATTTTGCTCAATATAATTTGCAAAAAATGACATTTTAAACATAAGTTCAAATTCTTGCCAATTCAACGAAAATGCTGATTTTTAGTTTCAGATTCGATTTTTGAGCTCTCAAGAACACTAGTTAACAACATTTGTTTTCAAAAATTAAAGTTGCATTTTAAACTATACTTGCTCATCATCTTTACTTAAGTACTACACACAAGCTATATTTTATTTTTGTTTATAGAAATTGTTTTTCGTACCAAACAATTAAAACTACTTATTTTATTCTTCTTGTTAGGATTTTCATTAGCACATTAACGCAATGAGTAAATTAACTTAAATATTTATTTGATTTCTCTCAACCATAAAAGGAGTTGCACAGGGTTTGTTTATCATTTCATGTGTGTTTTATTTTTTAAAAAAACTCAAGAACTGATTTGCTAATTTCTCTCGGTACTAAGCAAGCTCGTAACACTCGGGGTGTTACAATGGTAGAGGTATCAACTAATAATTCAAAAGTCTAATCATAAGACATTCTCAAACGCCCAAAAAACCTAGGCTGAAGCATTGATGCTTGAAATCAATACAGATTATAAAAAGAGGCCCTTGACATATAAGGAAAAACTAACACTAATATTCATGTTCAAGTTCAGGTTTAGAAGCTAGCATGCATGGTTTAGCATCCTAACAAATGACCTAGAGCAGTATGTAAGGTTAGCACCATGTAATTTATTAGAGAAGAAATAGCAACGAGCTCTGGAGGATGAGCAAATCTGTAACTAAACAACAGAAGGAAGATGGGCATACATGTGCAGACGGATATGTATCTATAGCCGTAGGACAGGAACAATAGATATGGACATCAAAAAGAATAACCCATAATAGCAGGTGGTACTACATGCATAGAAGTAGATGGCATAAACAATATACATATTATAGAATATCAAGTAAATTTAGGCATTTTGTTGCATATTCCTTTATTTGACTGAGTACCTGTTTGTATTATGGAGAGACCATCTGAGCATGCCTACTTTAACATGTCCCAATAGCTTCAAGATGGGCTAACCGGCTGAGTGAATTTGGATACATCACTTGCTTCTTCATCAACCTCTATATGCAATAACGAACTCTCGTGAGTAGTAGTCTGGTTGCTCCTATTCGAAATGAGGAACAAGAGACATTACCAGCCACATACAATAAACCTAAGATTAGATAAACTTCCAAAGCAAGAAAACACTGACCTTCGTTGTATTTCTTCCTCAGGCTTGCAGCTGCAGGTACTCCAATTAATTGAGTTGAAAGAGGACCAATGCACATAATTGAACCGAAAACTCAAACAAACAGCAAAGCCAAAAGCATGAGAACGTAATAGTTGGGAATAGGGCATGCGCTCAGAACTAACAATATATAATATGTCGTCACAACCAACGATCATAGACAATGATCACAAGGCCAGAATGAACAAGAATATATCTATCACTTCTCAGGCAGTAAACACAAGCTCAAACAACACAATTATGTGTTTATTGACATAGTAGGTAACGATCATAAGCAAGTGTGAGTGGAAAACAAAAGGAAATCATGAGAGTACAGAAAGGAGGAAATCATCACTCTCACTGGTATCTCCATACTTAGAATAGATAAGAAGAGACGCCAAAAAAAGGAACAACCAATTGACCATCACCCCAACTATCATGGAATAGGTACAAAGAGATGACAAAAATAGAATTTAGAGCTCATGATCATTGGCTCATACGTCATGTATAAAAGAAAGGAAGAGCAATCATTGCATCAAATACTGAACATAATTTATGGTGTAATCATCACAGCAGCAGCCCATTTCCTCAAAGTAAAATGTCACAGGAAGAGAAAAGTGTATTCATCATTGCAAGTGACCAAAATGCAAAGAGTAAACCAGAAATCACCAGGAATGCAATGTAGATAGCCTCATTTTTTTATCGTACACTGAGACCTGAAACAAATACCATCGGCATCGTCACATGCTCAGATCCATGGCACAACAATTGCCTGCTCTCAAGACTCGCCGAACCGAGTAGGCCACTCCCTACACAATGCAAAACAATTTGTATTAACATATATCGTTTGGTGAGAACAACAATAAATCTAGGGTGAAACTGGCCTTGCCTTATTTGTTTGCCTCCTTTCACCAAGATCCCCCTCCAAATGTCACATGCAGTGAAAAATAATGCAAGGGAGCAACGTCACCGCACTGAGGTAAGGAGAGAGAAGGGTAGGTGGAGTGATCCGGCGAGCCGATGACACGAGGAACAGCGGAGCCGCGTGAGGCACCTGCACCAGCCCGCACGGGGTGGGGGTGGGGAGGAGCCGTGGCCCACGTCGATGGCCATGCTACGTCGCCGCGTGGCCGTCTTTGTCAGGCGGAGGTCCTTGTTGGGGGCCATCGACCATTGGGCGCTTCGTCGTCATTGTCTTGCCGCCACACAGGGGTTGGGGCGATCTCACACCTGCCGTTTCGTGGGCTGGGATCCACCGGGGCCCGCTGTCGGGTGGCACGCCGCCACGTCGGGAGCGAAGGCGAGAGAGAGAGATGCACGCGCCACGCGGGAGAGGACAGCGGCTACCTGCCAGTGGCTGCGCCCAATGTCGAGGCCTGGCTGCGTCGGTGCGCCAGAGGACGGCCGCCGCTTGGGACTGGCCGGTGCGCCGCCAGATCTGGAGGGAGGGAGGGAGAGAAAGAGAGAGGGGGGAGGAGGAAGGGGTGAGAAGATGACGGCCTCGGTAGATATTTTTAGCCGCACGTGTACGGAGGTAACGTATAGGAGGTAACAAGGCATCTAGACGTCCAAGCTGCCATCAAACGGACCAAAATAATTTTGCTACCGTGGACAGCCTGGTTGGCGGCCAAACTAACCTGCTTTGATAAGAGTAGAAACAAGGAAACCTAATAAGAAATTGCTTCAGCAACAGCACACTATTTGCCATAAAAAAAGATTGAAAATAGCTTGTTGAAGCCACAGCTGCTCCTCGTGCCTTGTTGCAGGTTTGGTATGAAATTTGGAAAGAACTTTCAAAACACAAACGAGAATCAAAACAGATAAAAAAACAAGGTCAAAGAAGACAGCAGATCTCACTTTTCCTGGCTGAAATTTGGAGATTTTCTCGACGAGAATCACTCCACAGTACCGGTAGCCAAACGGTGACAGCGAAAAAAAAGATGGCTCCATTTTTCAAAAAAAGAATCCGACAGCATCGATCTCACTTTTGCACTGCGTCCTGGTAGCGAAAAAACCTGCTAAACGCGCGCACTCCCACGAAAAAACCTGCTCCCCGCTCCCCACGCCCGCCCAGTCCCCACCATTCGCGTCATGAAACTCCCCGTCAAGTTCGTCAAATTTACCCACCATTGCCACTGATATATAACCAAAAAATATCCCCTCTCCTCTCCCTCTCCCATCTGTTCCCCAACCCAGCTGCCGCCAGCCCACCAGCGCGTTCAAGCTCCGCGGTTCAGCGATGGCGCGGCCCCCGCCCTACTCCGCCTGGGCCCGCGCCGGCATCATCGGAGACTGCCCTGTCCTGCTCGCCGGAAGGAGCTCCCGGTCCCTGCTCACCTGAAGGCCGGCCTCGCCGCCAGCGAGGAACCCGTCCGTGCAGTAGGCGTCGTCGGCCAGGATCCCATCCTGCTGCTCCCCTGCAAGGAACGCCGCCCTGCCGGCTCCACTGGTCCCTGAAGCCGGCGCCGGCGACTTGCATCCCGGCTAGGCACTCCCCCCGAGCCGAAGGTGAGGGCCCTGCTCTCTGCCCCACTTTTCCCCGTCAGATCTAAACTTTTTTTAGTGGTGGATTGAGAGTGTATGTACCAGTAGATTATCATGTATAGGAGGACACCCCGCTCTCCCTCCCCCCCGTCGGATCTGCAGTTTTTGCAAAAAAAAAAAAATTTGATACACTGACACACATATACAAGTGACGTGTACTCGGGTGGATGGGTGAGTTTGCTGTTGTTGGTTGCAATAATTTTTAGGGGATTACAGAACAGTTTTTGGGGTTGCACTCAATTTGCTGGTGTTGATTTGTTTGACCTATGTGAATCTTCTAATTTTCTACTCCTATGAAAGAACCACTACTGCTTGATAAACATCCATTTTATATTAGATTGAACTTATCGTTATACTAGACTTGTGCCGGTGCGTTACTACGGGAGCTAAATTTTTTTAATACAATAAGAGGAGAATGACAATTGACAAGCACCACTTGTGTCCATATAACTGTTAATTGGATTCACATTATTCAATCAAAATAAAAGGTCACTGGTCCACATGTGCCACACAAAATAACAGGTCATTGGTTCACAAACCAAGCAAAATAACACTGAGGGGCACCACATAATCACCTTTTGTTAGATCAAGCGATGTCAGATTTGTTAATTCTCAAGGGAAAACTAATGGATCATTTGTCTACGTCCATTCTCACAAGTTGCCTGTGCAAACTGTCAACAAAGCATCTCAAAATTTGCACGTGTAGTCAAATGGAACTATTGTAGCCTAATATGATGGATGAGCTGGTACCGTTGCAACAATCTCAAAGTTGCAGGAGTTTCTGCAATAGCACAGAGTAATTAGAATTGTGAGTAGACAATGCACAAAGTAATTAGAATTGTGAGAAAACAATCTCAGGGTCGCAGGAGCCAGCTTTACGATTTGTTTGGGTGCCATTTACTTTGCTAAAATCCATTTATTAGTTTTATTATGGGATTAGTTTGCCAAGTAGTTGTATTGTACTTGTATCTGTTTATATACCCTGGTTTTGTCAATGGGTATGATGATGGATTGTGATTGTGTTTGTTGCAGCTCAAGGACTTGCCAAGGCTGTATTGGACTCACAATAATCTCACTGTCATGGATGTGACGCCCTTGTGGAACCACTCATCCGATGCTCTGTTATATGCTCACCATCCTTCTCACATGGTGAGCAGTTTAGAAAGAGAGAAAGCGGTTCATTTAGTTATTTATTTATTATTACCCAAGTGTTCCAAACATATGAGATTTTGCTATCGCAGGTGGATTTGAATAAATCACAGAATCCAGATGGTTTTAGCCATTGTCATGAGCTAGGCAGGAAGGCCCCTCATTTCCTCGTCAATGGGGTCTCATGGGAGAATTTGGATGCCAAGGGCTCGATTCCGAGGAAGCAAGTGTTCCAAACAGATGAGGTTTTGCTATCGCAGGTGGATTTGAATAAAACACAGAATCCAGATGGTTTTAGCCATTGTCATGAGCTAGGCAGGCAGGCCCCTCATTTCCTCGTCAATGGGGTCTCATGGGGGAATTTGGATGCCAAGGGCTCGATTCCGAGGAAGCAAGTGTTCCAAACAGATGAGGTTTTGCTATCGCAGGTGGATTTGAATAAAACACAGAATCCAGATGGTTTTAGCCATTGTCATGAGCTAGGCAGGCAGGCCCCTCATTTCCTCGTCAATGGGGTCTCATGGGGGAATTTGGATGCCAAGGGTTCAATTCCGAGGAAGCCTGACTCTTGCAGTGTACAGGGAAAGTCTGGTTGCCACTATATCATTGATTTAGAGAAACCAGCCACATTGGATTGCGGTGTACAGGGAAAGTCTGGTTGCCACTATATCATTGATTTAGAGAAACCAGCCACATTGGATTGCAGTGTACAGGGAAAGTCTGGTTGCCACTATATCATTGATTTAGAGAAACCAGCCACATTGGATGATGAGGATGCAGACTATGCTAACCACAATGGCGGTCTTTCAGATAATTCACAGTGTGTTCCACTGGATAGCTCTTCTTTGATGCGTGGTTGCTTATGCACAGATCAAAGCGCCCCTTATGTTACTTCTGGTTAGTTCATCAAATTTCCTCCTTATCTTTGCCCTGCTTAGAGTATCATACTTCATATATCTCCTGAGATTCCAAATGCTGTTGCAAATTGCAATGGTACTACTAGAATTTGCATGTGTATCGATCAATGCACAGCAAAGCAATTTTCTGTTAATACTATAGATAGACTACTTCTTTTCAAAGAATAACACACAACAAAACCTTAATATGGAAAGGCTCTACATATGTGTATATGGTTAGGTTACAGTCTTGTTAGGACTTGAATTGAAATTGGGATAGGTGGTTATGGATAAAGTTTAGGCCATGCTTTGTATCCACCCATAAATATGAAAGCGCTACTGTTGTAACCGTGAGATGATCTGATGGCTGGTTTCTGCGACGGCGGCATCTTGATGCAGCTGGAGCTGCTGTTTATTGGGGAGGAGCGCTGATAGACATTGCCCTGGGATTTAGGCCACATGGCTGAATGTTAGGATATATCATACACGGTGGTTATTGCGTGTAAGACCTCATGGCGTGCATATTTGCCAAGGTGGAGCTGTTAGATTTGTGCTGAATATGTGTATGGTTAGTTACAACAGGACAGCCCATAAATATTAGGGCACCACCTTGGCACCTTTATAACTGTGATACAACTTGGTGGCTAGTTTAGATGGCTGCTCTGGTCTGACAGCATCCTAATGCCGGTGTAGCTGCTGATTACAGATTTATAGGGAAAGGGCGCCCATAGTCATTGCGCCACAGATGTAGGCCGCAAGGCTGAGCCTTATTAACAATTTTTGTGCCTCAGTGTTGTTTGTTGTGTGCTTCTTTGATCTATGCCACTTGTGATCTTGTGCGCTTTCACATCAATTGATTTGATGCCGTCAGCGTGCTGCATCGATGATTTTATAACAGAATTCATATCTGAATGCTCTTGCAATGGTACCACTAAAAGGGCTCTGCCTTCAATTTCTGAGCTCTTAATAAGTTATCCTGTGCTGTTAGTCAAACTGATTGCTGCAAGAATATCTTTTTGTGCTACACTTACATCTACTTCTTGTGCACTGTGTGTTGTTTATTGCACACTTGATTAGTGTAAGATTCTCATGAGGTATTTGATTGACTCTTCCAATCTTCTATATGCAGGTTCAGTTGGTTCCAGTGATACTCCAGACAGTCATTCACCTGCCATAACAAAGAATACAGCATCTGGACGCATGTTTATCGATCTGAATGTAGCCCAGGAGGATGATTTTAATTTTTGTCCTGATCCCTCCAAATTGGTGTGTTCTACTTCAACTGGTTCTGCTACAAGACAGTCTGGAGGTTTTTGCAACAATTCGAGCAAAACATTCCTCAAAGGAAGTGAATGTAGTATCGGATCATCGAAAGGATCCTCTGGAACAGTCGCCACGACTATCACTGTTCCAGATAGTTCAAGGGAAGTGTTGGCTGCAGGTGTATTTCGTGATTTCCAGAGCCACAAGCCTTTCTTTATGGAAACATCAACTCCACTTCCCAGAAAAAATACCCGTCATCTGATGATTTCCAGATTGGAGTCTCAGGGTTGTATGGAAATGGAAGTACCACGGAAAGAATTTTCAGTTCGTTCCAGCGGTGAAAATAATTCTTATTCAGGTTTAACTAAACTGGGAGGCGGCCAAGTCACAAATTTAATGGGACAAGTACAAGCAGCTGTTGTTGTACATAGGGATAACCAAGAGGAAACTATAACAGTAATATCTGATCACAAAGTGGAAGGCTTTGACCTAAATGTAGCAGTTGAGAGCACTGATTTTCCAGCAAATTTTGAAAGCAGTTATTTAAGGCAACATGTAAATAATGATGGCAGACATTGTTTGGCTCAGAATGAGGCTCAGCAAAATATTGCTCCCATTGAATGTCCAGTTGTTAGAAACCAGAACATGGCTGTTAAGAGCACGGATGGTGAGGATGTACAGAGTCCAGTTTCTGGAATTGCAATTAACAGATCTGTTGTGATCCCGGAAACTCCTCAAGGTCGCGACTATGCATGTCCACGATCGAGATCGTCATGTAATGCAGCATCAGTTGCGCCTGAAGCTGTCAGCTTTGATGAAACGGAGATGGGAGAGTTCGAAAAAAGTGCTGCTACAGCAGCTGAGACACTTGTTTCCATGTTTGCGAGCAACTCTGCATGGTTGACAGATGGCCCTGGAAGCAATGGTGAAACATACGCTGAGGATGCAACACAGGAACCTGCACCTTCATTGAATTCTTTTGAGGAAAGCATACTGAGCCTAGAGGAGATGAAAGATGATGGGGAATCGGTCCCAGTGAGAGCACCCGACAACGATGGGCTTTCGTGTGGGATTAAGCTGAAGAGAGGGAGGGGGTTGAGAGATTTCCAGAGGGAAATATTGCCTGGGCTTGTGTCCCTGGCGAGGCATGAGATATGTGATGACTTGCACTCCATAGGATACGAAATCAGGAAAACTCGGTCACGGAGAAGCCCTGGTGATGAGGGTAGTCCACCAACACGAATACGACTGCCTAGGCGTTGTTCTACCGCATGGAACCGATGAACGAGAAGTCCTCGATGTCACACTGTGACTTCATCTCACAGCATGCAGCGACAAGCAGCAGGAAAAGCAGAGTTAGCTTTGAAGGACGCCGAATCTAACTGGCTTCGTCACGAGGTGCGCTGAGCATGCATTGCCGGGAATGAAACCCGTTGTATCAATAGCCATTTGATTGGAGAGATTTGTTTCAATTGTAATCTGCAACTGCGGCCAAAGGCAAATCGTCGTGTTAGATGTAATTGTGCTTTAGGAAGTGCATATCTGAGTGTTAGCAACTGGTGGTAAAGCTAATCTCCTTTTGTCTTATCTTTGCCGCTGGATCTTGTACTATACGTAGCTTCCTGCCTGGCGGGATGATGAATGGGCTAGCTCCATAGAATTGAATTGAATGGAATGGAATAAAAGGTTGGCTGTGTGTTCTTATTGCACCTTTCACTGCAGATAGAGCTGCCTGTGGTCTGTTTGTCATTGAGCCATTGAGGTGGCTGCTGATCGCTGTACGGCGTGTGCAAATATATGCCTGCCATGTCCAGACCATGAGCCGGAAGGGCTATCGACAGAAGTTACAAGCAAGGTCAAATCATATGGGCCTGTTCGGCGGCCGGTTTTTACAGCCAACAGCTGGCTCTCACAAAATTGCTGTGCTGACACTGCGTTTACAAGCAGCATAGGAGTATGATGTGGCGCGTTAGTAAAACTAGGACAGTAGGTGCGCTCTGCCACGCCTTTTTTTTTTTTTTTGATCGGCTGCCACGCCTGTTTTAGCTCTGTGTTGATGTGTATTATATCTTGTCCACCCTGCATCTCTGCAACTGATGCAGGTAATTGGTAGAGAGGTTTACTAATGTGCATCTACCCAAATAAGAATATTTCGCAGAAATATATAGCAATGTAACCGTAGTTTAAGGTCTAGCTTTTAACGTGGGGCCCATATTTAAATGTAGCTGCACTAGTCTGCACAAAGTTGTAGACTACTATAGTGAGTTATTTCACTAAGTTTCAGTTAGTTTCACTAAAATTTAAGGTGTGAATGCGAGATTTTCAATCCAGGAGTCCAGCTTTGATATGCAGTCTACATGTATATATAACAGGTATATATGTAAAATATTAATAGAAATTAATAGTTCAAATCAAAACAATGAATATGGATAAAATTGTTATTATCCAATGGGTATGGATAAGATTGGGGAGGATGAGAAATGAATAATGATATATTATGGATTTGAACATGAATAAGCATGGATTTATCCATACCTTCCCCAGTGTCAGATATACTCATGGATGTAATGCTGTTAGCAGAGAAACAGTTTTGATGCAGGCAGGCAGAGTAAAGAAAGCGAGAATCCATCATTTTTATTCCATTGGGCTAAGTCATTGTCTCACGCACCGACAGCGACAGGTCAGAGTCGGTGATGTAGCAACGTAGGGGCTAAGCGGAGTTCATTTTTAACTTTGTCCTATGTTGAACTTGTCTTACTTTGACTGTTTTTTAAAAAATAAATTAACATTTACAATATCAAAAAATACACTACCAGTTGATGTTGTAGATGCTTGTGCATTTTTTTGTGTGTAAACTTAGTCAAAGTTAGAGAAATTAGGAGTCTACCTTACATTCTCAAAGAGCCCCTGCAGCCACCGCTCTTTGCTCTCGCCACCGTTGTCGCAGCCGTCAATGGCCCCTCTCGATCTTCCTTGGCAAGTCTGTTGACGACAAGAATGAGAGGGGACCATCTCTTCCTAGCAGTTTTTTAGATCTAGATTGTTTTAGTGTTTAGCCAAATAAGTCCATTGAAGAAATCATATGATTTTCGTTTAGCATCTTGTTATCTGCGATGACTTCGGTGATTGCTACAGTGAGGTGGCCATTGTAGCTAGGCATCTATTTTATTGATAAGAGTCTAATTTGTGGCCATTATCTATAAGGGGAGGTTTGCTTTTGGACACTCCCCATATGAACAGTACTTAGTATCATCGACATCATTGTTGTTGGCTGTGGAGAGGAAATCAGGCATACATAACTAATCAAGGGTGGGAGGAGATGAACCTACAACATATGTTGTACCCCGGCGATACAATTGTCGATATTCTTTCATCATTTTAGATATGTTTTGGATTGATTCCGAAATGTTAGATCTTGCGGCATGTGCAATGTTTTAGGGTTGATTGTTAAATTCATCATAATGATTGCACTTTTGGTTTCGTGTTCCTGTGGGCTAACAACTTCTACTTGGAGTTATCAGTACACACAAAGTTATAACCTGAAAGAGATAAGGGGAAAGAAAATAACATTTAACCAGGAGAGAAAATTTTGTACTGATTAATTAAAAAAATTTGGACATGGGAAGCATTTCATAAAAACAGAAAGTTGCCTCTAATAATAAGAGCCACACTTGGACCTATGACTAAAAAATTTAATAAGTTGCGGTGGCGGATCTCAGGCACAAAAGAATCATGACATTTCATAGATAACTTACGATCTGAAAATTGAATTCTTATTTTCTCCAGTGGTATGCCATTAGCATTCAAGACCTTCAGAACTTTGAGTACTATCCCATCAACATCTTTGCATATGATTTCAGCATTCTGAAGATGTCTAGGTGCAATTGATTTTTCCAATGGATTGTAACTTCCCTCTGTTTTCATTAAAGTCTTGTGTGCCTAAAGCAAATCAATAATTTACTCAATCAATGAACAAAATCAAAATAACGACTAGATATGTGGTACAGAGTAACAAGTTAATGATAGCACCTTTGACATTCTAAGGGTAAGCTTCTCCAAAAGAGGGGTGTGGTGCAAGAACCAAATCAGTGCACTGAGGTCAGTAGACACAAACCATTTGCTAAGCACCAAAGTCTTTAACTTGTTAAATGCAGGGCACCACTCCAAATCCCTGCTGAAAACATACTAGGAAAAGTACAAGGATGTAAAGTAAAACAATGAGTACAATGGGGAAAAAACACAATCTTCAATCATATACTGGTTAATAAGCCAAGGAATAAGGCTCTGTTCGGCTGATACATAAGCCGGCTGAAACTGTTTTGTTGTGAGAGAAAAATACTATAGATTCTAGCTGATAAGTTCAAGCAAACATGGCTCCATATCTTTTTGTAGAGGTGCATCTAAACTATTCTATATAAAAACATTCCTATGTTTTCTAATCTGAACAACCCCTTCCGAATCTAAGATCACAAATCAATAACTAGGTCTCTCATTTTTAGCTGAACAATATTATCAGTAACTGTAGAAGAACACAAGGTTCAGTGATGTTTGATTGAAATCAGAGCATTTGAATTGAATGAAACAACTGAAATTGTCAATGCAATCGAAAAATCAAAAACATGGGATGCAGCTGCAAGCGTACCAGATCAGGATAAGCTGACAAATTCAAGTAAGTAGCTTCAGCCAAGCCATGAAGAAACACGCTGCCGGAATCATCAGGGACATAGTAATAAAAGCAACCCCCACAGGCAGCATCTCCACAGTCATCCAAGCGACCATTTTTACATCGATCATCGTAACGATGATTGAATCGAACTTTGGCAGCTTCCAAGTGCGGCATTCTTTCAAGCATTGGAGCCCTTCCGAAATTAGTAATGAACTCGAACGAGACGAGGCTGGGGAACGACATCCCAGCGCGGCAGCTGGAATAAAAGAAGCAGTATTTAACACTCAGATGCTTCAGGGAGGGGGAGTGCATTTCCGTCGACCAAACGCAGCACGCCTCCATCTTGAGACGCTCCAGCGCGGAGCATCCAGAGAAATCAACGGCGTTGTTGCCCTGGACACTCGTGAGCTCCAAACTCGTGAGGAGCTGGGAGGACGACGAGGACATGACACCTATGTATACGACTATGTTTGCGCATGGTATAGAGGGGTAGGAGATCAGTAAAGGTGTACAAGTCAAGAAGGAGGCCCGAGGCTAATTCGGTTTGAGTCCTCGAGGTGGAGGCCCAAAGCAACTCAAGTTCGAGCCCGTCTCGGAGTCCAGGACCAGTCTGCCTTAAACTGGTCACCCAGGACTCATCCGGACTCCGTTTTCGACGATCCACATATGGATAGAAAACTAATTAGATAAGTAAGCCAATGTAAGTGGTCTCACGTCAAAAGCCCTTCGGAATCAACGGAAATCGACGAAACAAGTCAGCGTCCAAAATCTTTCAGGATGTTGCGACACCGCCTTTTGGTCCGTTGGACCGTGTATTGTATTTGGGCCCATTATGGGGCGCGTCCAGGGGGTGACGCCCAAGACTCTATAATTATCAGCCGTCGCTCTCCTTAGAGTTTGGGTTTTGTTTAGTTCTTGATTTCCTCGTGAAACAGACATTGTTTTGCTGCAACTGTGCTGCCAAGGCTGCTTGCTGTAAACCAGAGTCTCAGTTCTTGATCTTGTTCGCCTGTGGTGATTAGTCCTTTCGAATAAAGACTTCAACTCCTTTTTGTTATCATAAGCCTCATTTATTTGCAATTTCAGATTGTGTTTATCTCGTTCTTGCTTGTGTTTCCGATTCGCTTACAGGAAAGTCTTCTCGGCGAGGTCAATCGCGTTCGCGTGGTTGATAACCAACGGAGCAGTGGTGTAACGATTGCGGGGGTCCGAATCAGTCTTGGTTCGAAGCCTAGATCGTGAATGTCGAGTCTCCACCAATCGACGCTATCATACCTTTCAGAAGATCATACCTTATCTACATCAAGTGGTATCAGAGACCTTGTTGCCCGTTAGGTATAACTTTGTTTTTTTCCTTTAGATTGTTACTGTTTTTGTATTACTTATAGTCCACGAAAAACAAAAAAAATATACACCGCCACATATTCCCTGTCCTATAGCCTCGTTGTGCTGTGCAATTTCGTCTCTGTTTCGCGTTATTGAGTTCGTGTCCTAGGGCAAGTTCTGGTTGCTGGTTTTAAATCGTTTTTTAGTCTAGTTTGTTTTTCCCTTTGTTTTTCATCATAATCCGTGAATACCTTTAAGTCTTGCTGTGTTTTCTTTGTATCCATCAAATCTTAGTTCACGCCATCTAATTTGTTACACTTGTCTTCACTGTTTGCATCTATCCATAGCCGCCGCAATAATTTTTGTGCGCATTGTTCCCGTTTTGTCCTCTAATTCAGAGTCAGATCTTAAAACTGGGCTAGTTTTCGCATACGAACTCAAATTTCGACGTTCCATATATCAAAATCAATCAGAAAAAAATTCGGATTCGTCCGTCCGCGGCATAGCCGGGTTCGGAAAATTTTATTTTAGCCAAAAATTGATCATAAGATCCTCTTTTCGTGGTCACAAGCTTTTTGTCGATTTCGAGCACGACTTCTGAATTTTTCACAGGCCACGTCTTTCACTTGTTTAAGCTCATATTTTCTATGGTTACTTCTTTTGTGCTCCTAAGTGAAAAAAAATACCAAAAAAAATAAAAAGAAAAAGTCAAAGAATCCCAAAAAAATAATGATAGCCTAAAAATAGAGAAAAAAGAGAGGAGCAAAAGTAGAACAATATCTAGAGGAGCACATAGAGAGCGTCATTTGAGCTGTGTTTGCGTGTGCTGATTTCCACCTTGTTTCTAATCATATTCCTACTGTTCACATCACTTGATACATCTGGTACTTGGAACGTTAATAGGCCAGCAACTAAGACAAGTACTCGGGATACTTATTCAGCTTTACTATTCAGTTACGAATATTGCTATTCCTTGCTACTATATTGTGCCTGTCCAAGATCTACTCTCTTCTAACCAAGTACAGATTTGCCGTACAACTATTACACTCAAGCTACAACGGTATCATAGTCACCAACCGATTGCACCGCCTGTTACTTTGGTAAGAATACTTATAAGACCGTGGTAAGACGCTTAAGAGTGCGTGACTTTACTCCTTGACCACATCCTATAGTAGCTGATAGGAAAATACATACTTGTGTGTTTTCTTGTTTGATTCTAACAGTGACTGATTGTTCGTATCCACCGACTTATGATGGTATAGGTGCTGATGAGTACATAGAGTGGGAAATTGCCATAGATAACATATTTGCTACTCGCTTTATGTGTCCAAGAAGGAAGGTAAAAAATACAGCTACTGTTTTGCGACATTCTGCTTTATCTTGGTGGGAGTCTTTAGATCCTTCTGATAAACCTTAAACTTGGAATGATATGAAACTCCTTATGCGAGAAACCTTTGTTAATCCACCTCCTGTTTTGACTTCATATGCTGAGGTGCACCATTTAGAGAAAGAGTCTGTTGTTATTCCTCTTGCTATGACTAACCTTCTGCAGGATAATATACATAAGCGAGAGGATGACATGAAAGAAAATGAGGAGCTCACAACCGCATATGCAAATTCAGAACCATCACTTCGCAATGCACCTATTACTTATGCTGAGAACACAGGTAATGCCCATGGTGCTATACTCATGAAAGGTGAGAATTATTTTAATGTACTAAATTTTTCCACAAACTATGTTATCATAGAGCAATTGTTAGTGGAACCCTCTCTTGATTTATCTTTGTCCCATGATAAATTGCTTGATGTTCCTTGTGATAAAAGATGAATTAGTTGATGATGCTTTAGTTTTACATGTTTTGGAACCAACCACTTGTGCTGAAAATAAACATGTTATTCATATTGCTACTAAAACTGATGAGCTCAAACTGTTGTTTTCTTTACATACTTTTGGTTACATTGAATTTGATGTTTTGTGTAACCTAGATTGTTTGGAGGAGAGCCTTTTAAATATGCTGATTTGCCTTAGTTTTCTAAACACACATATCATGTTATTGGTAAATATAACAACAAAGGACAATATATGATACATCGAGTATACGTTCGTAGTAATATGAATTCTCCTTTTGTTCTATAAGATTATGATCGTTTAGAGGGCAGCCATAATAGTACAAACATTTTCTCATGTTCCTCAAAGAAACAAGTTCACTTCCAAGAAGGGGACCATTGTTGGTTGCTACCTATGTCTGCTAGACCATCTATTCTGCATTGTCTTTGGTGAGTTCTAATCTTTTGCAGGATAGTGTTGACATACATCGTGTGCATTCAGATCATGGAGTCTACATGCTTGCTGAAATTTTTATGCGAGATGACACGCTAGAAACTTAGAAACATGGTCACGTTCCTTCTCACAATTATTTCAGTTCCTTTTGTCTTCGCAACCCCATTCTCCTTTGTGTTGTGCAGGATCAGTTTCAAACACAATCGACGTCGAGGACGGCTTTTCGTCAAGAAGGGAAGGATGATGAAGACATGACACCCATGCATACGACCATGTTTGGCGCATGGTATGGAGGGGTAGGAGACCAGCAAGGGTGTCCAAGTCAAGAAGGAGGCCCGAGCCTAATTTGGTTCGAGTCCCCAAGGTAGAGGCCCAAAGCAACTCAAGTTCGAGCCCGTCTCGGAGTCCAGGACCAGTCTGCCTTAAACTGGTCACCCAGGATGCATCCGGACTCCATTTTTGATGATCCACATGTGGATGGAAAGCTAATTAGATAAGAAAGCCAATGCAAGTGGTGTCACATCAAAAGCCCTTTGGAATCAACGGGAATCGTCGAAACAAATCAGCATCTAAAATCTGTCAGGGTGCTGCGACACTGTCTTTTGATCCATTGGACCGTGTATCGTGTTTGGGCCCATTAGGGGGCGCGTCCAGGGGGTGACGCCCAAGACTCTATAATTATCAGCCGTCGCTCTCCTTAGAGTTTGGGTTTTGTTTAGTTCTTGATTTCCTCGTGAAACAGACATCGTTTTGCTGCAACTGTGCCGCCAAGGCTGCTTGCTGTGAACCAGGGCCCCAGTTATTGATCTTGTTCGCCTGTGGTGATTAATACTTTCGAATAAAGGCTTGAACTCCTTCTCGTTATCATAAGCCTCATATTTATTTGCAATTTCATATTACGTTTATCCCGTTCTTGCCTGTGTTCTCAATTCGCTTGCAGGAAAGCCTTCTCGGCGAGGTCAATCGTGCTCGCATGGTTGATAACCAACGGAGCAGTGGTGTAATGATTGCGGGGTCCGAATCAGTCTTGGTTCGAAGTCTAGATCGTGAACGTCGAGTCTCCACCAATCGACGCTATCATACCTTTCAGAAGATCAGACCTTGTCTACATCAGAGGAGAGGGGCCTAAACTCCAGGGGAAGCTGGGAGGGGTTGGAGGAGCTCAGAAACAGAGCTCCCGGACCTTGAGTTGCAGCACGCGGCGGATCCAGCTGTCGTCGTGCAACTCCAATCTGGAGACATTGGACCGGCCAAGATCCAGATCGAAGTCGCAGGAGTCTAGAGGCGGGTCCCTGCGGCGGACCGTCGACAAAGGGGACATACGCGTCGACACCGCCGACCAAGTCGGTGGAGCAGACGAAGCGGACGGCGGGCGCGGACCGCCAGCGGTTGCGCCAGCTCTGGGCGAGGACGCACGTGCGCACCGCGTCCTGTGCCGACAGGAACGAGAGGATGTGGTTGACGACGCCCTCTAGGAGCTCACTGATTCGGTCAGCCCCACTCACCATGGGAGGCGCTCTGCTCTCGGTGAGGCGCTCCGTCGGACAGGTGGCGCGCACCGCTGAAAGCTGGAGGAAGGAGAAGTAGGGCCTGTCCGTTGGGGTGCAGGTGGGCCCATTTGTTTCCTGGAGGCCTT